GTCGAATCCGTCGAAGGGTCTCCGATGTTGCGACCGCTGCACGTCTCCATCGAGGTACGGGGGTCGTCCACCTCCACCAATAATGTTACGAGTAACTTCTTTAATAATCTATTCACAACGCACAGAACTCGACGAGCAAAATGGCGCCAGTCCAGCATCAACCAAAAACTATCCTTGTCCTCTTCTTTCATGCAGCCGCGTTTAGCTGCTGTTATGTATCAATATAATTGGTATCGTAATAATAACGCAGTTTTTATACTGTAAAGTAAGTTTTTTGGGTTAGCTCCGCCTTCAGTCCCCCTTTTTTCAATTTGTGCATTTATTTTCCGAATTTTTGTACAGAACCTGTATATAACGAAATGTTCTTTATAACGAATTTTTGTGGGATTTTATCAATTTTCTGACACCTAGGTTTATCGGTATCAGGTTAGCAGTTTTTCGCTAAAAGCCCTCAAACTTCTTGAATTTCATGACCCTTTCTTGACAAAAAAATTCCCATGAAGTATGGGAGTTTTTCCGCAAAAGCTATAAAATAGGATACCTTTTTTCTGTAGATGTAATTGACCTTTTTTACTTGGTTCGGCATCTGAAACTACTTCGGGCGGTTAAGAGGTGTATCGAAGATAGTGGTGAAGCCGCCTTAGTGACGAAAACGGAGATCTTGGCTGCGAACTCTGTTACCCCTTTAGAAGACTATCTCAACATTGCCATTTTTTGGGCATGTTGGTAAACAGAACTTGACGACATATTGAGCGCTAAGAGACTGGGACATCAGAGAGAGGGACACAGTGCGCACTGCGTTATCCTCTCTTTCATGTCCCTGTCTCTTAGCGCTCAATATGTCATCAAGACTATCTTAAGCACATTTTCATTTCCTTCGAGCATGGCATGTTTTTATCACAGAAAAACGGCGTTCGCATTGGTTCTCGAGTAGCACCCATATTATATGACATCTTTTCATCGTACTTTGACCATGCTCTGTTACTTAATCTTATTTGAATACTCGTGAAGTTTTTAGATACATTTTTATTTGTAATTGAAAATTGATGCCTTTTTTCTTGCCCTCTAATGGTTGAGCAGATTTTGAATATTTTTAGAGCAGACACTACTGGTCTCATATTCACTACTGAGTTTCCAGAAAACAGCTCATTGCACTTTTGGGACCTAACCCTGACAATTTTGAGTGATGTTTGCTGTGCATATTTTCCATCACGTAAAAAATGATTGTTCCAGTATGACTCGGTGCACTCAAAGTGTGTAAAGCGTGGAATCTCTGTACTTTGCTTGGAGTTGGCCTTGCACAGATCTTGTGAACTTGTTATTCAGGTTAGTTTTATGAGTCAGCTTCAAAGACTTTCCAAGGCCAGCTTCCCTCAGTCTGTCATAAGTGCCGTGGTTGAATCCTTGCTGCCGAAGTTGAAAGGCAGTGCTGCCATTGTAAACGCGCACGCAAAGGAATGGGAGCAGGTTAAGCCAAAGGTAGTCCCTTATGTGCATCGTGTGACCCATAACCTCAAAAAGGTGACTACTTATTTTGGCATCCCAGTCATTTTTTCGGCTCCCAACGAGTTGACTCAATTGTGCCCCTATGTCAGGCGCGATGAGCCAAGGGGCTGCCAGAAACAGCACACAAAGCCGCTTAGGCGATGTGTACAAGGAGTAGTATATGACACATCCCTAAGCTGCGACAAGTCCTACATTTGACAAATGGGACGTTGCGTTAATGATAGATTGAGGGAGCATGCTGATAGCTTAGGCAAAAGAGATCATGCGCATCTTCCTGTGCACCACAATGCCTGCGGATGTGAACCATACTTTGTACAAGCGTTGACTCTAGGCAAGAGCAGCAAGCGAACAGCTAGAGGGCTCTTGGAAGCATTCTTAATCAAAAAGAATGGGTCTAATTGTATTAGTGACACATCTACAACATTGTATTCGACAGAAATGTGCTTTCTAGATAGCTTGTTGTCTTGACCATGTTGCTGTAGCCATTTGTTGGCTGTTCACGCATATCCAGAAATGTATTTTTTTTCCTGTGCTGTTCTTATACTGTCAATAAATGGTTGTTAGTCGGTGCTGCTTCTTCTCCTCTTCTGCTCCTCTATTTTTCACGATATGTTTTCTACACCTCAGTCATTCGTACCTAAGCAAATAACACTTATTTTGCAGCTTAAGAGAGTTAGTTGATTTCTTTGATGTAATCAGCAAACAGACAGCGATAGTGCCCATCTAGTGTCAGTGACTAAAGCTTTTGTGCATTCGTGAAATTACATTTTAATCATTGTGTACATGATTAGAACACCTAGTATATGTTGTGTTCTAAAAGAAATAGTTGAACTGCTTAATAATAATAATAATAATAATAATAATAATAATAATAATAATAATAATAATAATAATAATAATAATAATCTTTATTTCAGTATCAACAGGAAGGAAAATACCACTGGTGAGGCTATAGGGGCTAGCAAAAAGCCTCTAATGGTTTGGCAAAGGTCAGCGCCCCATTTACAAAATCATACAAGGCAAGAACAACAGTGGACAACAAATATGTGCTAGTAAAGAAAGGCCTATAAACATGGCGACACTTTATAGGTACACGTCTCAATTTACGTTTGGATGACAGAATTAAAATCATGGGAGCAGAAATTGCACATACTTAAGTAGTTATAAAAGCCCATTTAATTGTTTATTTATCATATTAGTGAAGGAGTTAATAGCCTGTGGCCGCAAGTATATAAGCATTTGGTGGCCATAATTTATACAAGTGTAGGGGATGTTCCACGTGTGACTGCTTTGTGTAGCGTATGTTTTTACAAATGGGGACAGGGTGGGGAGTTTTTCTAGAAAAGAGTTGCTATTTTTCTGGTATGCATAATATTGTTTCATTAGAAGTAAACTGAACAAGTTCAGTAATGATGTTGTATCAAGATCTCCAAATAAAGGCTTTGTGTGGGCATCATATGATTCATTTTAGATGATTCCCACAGGCAGGCGATAGATTTTGGATGAGTTTGAGACAGTTGTGCTCCGTACCAGATATTTATGTGTTAATGTAAATGAGGAAAGGGAATCGTATAAAAGCAATTCGATGTGTTCTGCTAAAAAGTAATGGAGGCGTGTTTGAGTACCCACTAATCTCAAAAGTTTCCAGTTGACAGCACTAATGTCTGCGTTCCATTGCACATTTTCTTCAAAAAGAACACCCAAGTTTTTTATTACTGGTACCAGTTCTATTACTGAAAGACCAAGGTGCAGGATAATATTTGAATTGTCTTATTTTTAGGGCGAAACAGAACTGCTTTTGGCTTTGAAACGTTTATAGTTGAAGAATTGACTCCAAGTATTCTATTTAATGAGCACCTCATTTGGCTTTTTCGCAAGCAGAGGGAGACTGCAATGGGTCAAAAATAAGCTTTTGTCGTCTGCATAAATAACAAATGATGTATTGATGTCTATATTGACAAAATCATTTGTATATAGGTTGAAAAGCGGGGGCCAAGAATGCTTCTCCTGAGGAACACCATGTAGCAAAAATTTGAAACTTTAGTGTGAGTTGTTAATACGCACGTTTTGTAGGTACGACTTGATGACAGAGAGGAAACAATCTCTGAAGACGTAATGTTCTAGCGTTTTTAAAAGTGACGCGATTCATACTATGAAATGCCTTTGAATAGTCTATGAAAATTGTAAGCGCATACCGCTCATGTTCTAAGGCATCAAAGATAATTTCTTTCTGCATTAGTAAATTGCACTGTGTTGAATGTTTTTTTGTAAACCCAAATTGATATAGTGTCATGATGTAGTGCTTCTTAAGGAATGTAGACATTCGTATGTGTACTAGTCTCTCCACAACTTTGGAGAATATTGGGAGTATTGAGATAGACCTGTAATTAGACATGTTAGACTTATCGCCACCTTTGAAAATTGTGACAACTTTGGCATCCTGAAGTCGGCGAAGAAACTATTTGAATAATGATGAAAAATATTTGAATAATGATGTGCTCTAACACAGGAGCTATGGTAGCGGCAAAGTATTTCACTGGCCGAATATGCAGAGCGTTTGCATCACTACGGGTAGTGTTGTTTTGAGATATGATTGTAGACACGACCTCATCTGCAGTTATTGGGAATAAAAATTCCGTTTCTTGTATTGGTGGGCCCATAAAGTTGAGACAGTTTGGGTCATGATGGCTATTTGCTACCAATGTGAAATAATCATTAAAAGCTACAGCTACAACCTCTCCCATGGGAGTAGTACCATTTGCGCTAATTTTACTGGGGTTATTATTGGCACGGAGATGTATATTTAAGAGTGTGTTTAACTTTTTCCTAAAGATTTCCGGTGTTAGTTTCATATCTCGCGAGAGAAGGTTTTCAAAATACTGTCTCTTGTCATTTTGTAAAAAGCTATTTGTCTTGTTCCAACGTTTTTTGAATGTATCTAGATCCTCCTTGTTCTTTGAGTTAAAAAATGTTGGGATAAAGAATGCTTTTTAGTTTTATAGCTTTCGGACACTCCGCGGTAACCCCGTGGTTTGCGTGCTTTATGTTGTGTCTTTTTACTTTTGTAAGGTAAGCAGTCAGAAAGTGGTACATAGAAGGTTGTGCATAATGGCCCGAGAGAATAGAACTTTTTCTTCATCTCTCTTGTGTTTGTTGTTTGATTCCTTGTGCTGATATATCTCTACCACTTACACTGTGTGCTGGTATGAACTTTCAGACTCAACTCTTAGCGGAGAAAAAGAAAAAGAGATTATTTTCATGTTCAGCCTACACGTATTATTGTGCCACTTACACATTGCAGTGTAACAACATAGACTTTATCTAAGGTACATATAACTGTTAACGGTCATCACTTTTGCGGAATTTATGTTTTTGAAAAAGGCTGTTATTAAAAAAAAAAAGGGGGGGGAGCTTGAAATGCAGTACGGGCAGCAAATATACACAGCTGTGAGCATATGTTGTAGCAGTGCTTTTTTTTTTTCTTTCTCCTGCAGGGACATTTGTGACCTTGCTGACCGCTATGATGCCATGGTGTTCGTCGATGAGTGCCACGCCACGGGCTTCTTTGGCAGCAGTGGCAGGTAATCTTTGTTTTCATGGCGTTTCAATTGTGCTATTGACTGTAAAATACTAGTGTATGGTATTATGAAGAGGGAAACGGTTTTTCAACAATGTAAGTGGCAGAGATATATCAGCACAAGGAATAAAACAACAAACACAAGAGAGATGAAGAAATAGTTCTCTTCCCTTGGGCCGTTATGCACAATCTTCTATGTAACACTTTCCATTTCAGTAATCTCTGTTTCAATAGCACAGCACTCCATCAGCCATATTTGGCGGCAGCACAGTATTGCGTAGTGCAAATTACCTGCTGCTTCAGGGTCACAGTATAGTAGATGAGGCAAAGCATCCTCAAAAGGCGTCATTGTGCTATTGACTGTAAAATACTAGTGTATGGTATTATTTATTTATTTATTTCGACATACTGCCAATCCCATCAGGGATTTTAGCAGGAAGGGCGTGAACATAAAAATTGGAATAAGTACACAATAAAGACATACATCGCGATAAAGTACAGAATGAAACTAACAGAATCGGATCATTTAATAATTTCAGATCAAAGAAGGCATAAAACATTAGTGTAAAGAAAAGTTGTCAGAAGAAAATAAATGCAGCGACTTGGTTGACACATTGGTTGACATATTGGCATATGCATCAAGAAACACAACAAGAAATTACAGCAATAAGAAACTACCCTACAATATGGCGAAGTACTTCAAGGAAGGGCAAATTTATACACACTGAAAACAGAAACATGATCAAGAATAAACAGAGCGATTTCTCTTCTCCGGGATTCAGTACTAAAAATTACTTAAAGAAAAAATATGATGACATGATACTTTGCTCGTACAATGTTCACACGAACACTCATATTAAAATCAACCAGGTGATTCCGTTTGAATAATACAAAGTTCATTTTCGACAAGGGTTAGAAATTTTGCTAATTCGGTAGTGCTGGAGATACTCGGATCCAGTTTATTCCATTCATTAGTGGCTATCGGAAAGAATGAGTATTTAAAGCAGTTTGTGTTGAAGGAGTATTCGTTAAGTCTCATTGGGTGTTTTTGGCGTGTTGTTCTAGTTTGATCAAACGTAAGGTAGGCGGATACATCAATGTTTAAATGACCATGGATTAATTCATGTATGAATTTTGCACATGCTAACCTTGTTCTATTCATTAGAGTAAGTAATCCAGCTTTTTTAATTAGTTTAGTCGGAGAATCTGTATGTCTGTACTTGTTGTAAATGAACCTCAAAGCTTTCCTTTGTATTCCTTCCAGTTTTGTGATTTGCTGTTTTGTGGATGGTGACCAAATAATATTACCGTATTCAAGTAATGACCGCACAAGGGAAGTGTATGCAAGCAGTTTTAGAGAAGGCGGGGCCTGGCGAAGCCGGTATCTGAGTGCAAACAAGCGGCGTAGTGCAGCTGAAGTAACGTAACTTATGTGTGCGTCCCATCTTAGATCTTCAGTTATAATAATTCCAAGATATTTATGCTGATTTACTCTAGTTATGGGGATGTCATTGATAGTGTAAAGAAAGTTTGACCTAGTTTTTTTTCGACTTACTGATAAAATTGTACACTTGTTTGCATTAAGTGACATCTGCCATTTACGGCACCAGCAGGAAACATCTTGTAAAGCACTATTTAAAGCTACATGGTCCTCCGTTGAGTTTATTTCTCGATATAGCACGCAGTCATCCGCGAATAATTTGATTTTTTCCTTAATATTTGTAGGCAAATCATTAATAAAGAGAAGAAACAAAATTGGCGCCAGCACACAGCCCTGCGGAACTCCAGATGTGACGGAGGTGGTAGCAGAGGTTTCATCGTTAAATTCCACATACTGTGTACGATCAGTAAGATAATTTTTGATCCAGTTAAGAACAGTAGAATTTCCTAAGGTGGCCTCAAGTTTTTGAAGTAGTTTCTTGTGTGATACCTTGTCGAATGCTTTGGCAAAGTCGAGGAAGATTAGATCAGTTTGTTTTTGGTTGTCAATACTCTGGGATACCTCATGTGTTAATTCCACTAATTGGGTTATGGTTGAAAGACCTCGGCGAAAGCCATGCTGATAGGGAGATAATATACGTTTTTCTTCTAGGAAAACGGTTATTTGTTTAAGAATTATGTGCTCCAAGATTTTACAGATTGTACATGTCAGGGATATAGGTCTAAAGTTAGATATATCATTTCCGCTTCCTCCTTTATGCACAGGAACAACTTTGGCCTTTTTTCACTCCACAGGTAAAGAGCACGTTGATAGTGATTTGTTAAACATGACGCACAGATATTTAGCTAGCAACTCTGCATATCTTACAAGAAAGATGTTAGGAATGTTGTCGGGCCCTGCTCCTTTTTTTGCGTCCAAGTTTAACAAGAGATTTATGACACCGGCCTCATTGATAATAATCGATTCCAGGGTACCTTCCGCACTAGAGTCGATGTCTGGAATGTTTCCGTCATCGACAGTGAATACAGACTTGAAATAGCTGTTCATTTTGTCTGCAGTGATCGGGTTATCTTTTTCCGGGGGTGTGTAGCTTTTGTTGTTTAGGTAGCTGTTCAGGCTTTAGGTAGCTCCAAAACTTGCTGGGGGAATTTTTTAGAAAGTTTGGCAACGTTTTAGTGAAATAGTTGCTCTTCGCTGTTTTTATTTTTGTTTTTAGGTCACTCACAGTAGCAGTCAAATTATTTACTGTTACTGCTCCGGGTTTTTGTTTTATTCTCTTTCGTATTCGCTTTACTTTGCGTTTCGCATGTATTACCTCACGTGTTATCCACGGGTTGTGTTTCTTAATTTTTTTCACTCTAATAGGTACAAAGGTACCTATTATAAAGGTACAAAGGTATACAGTGGTGCATAATTTCTTTTAACTGAGACCATAATATTTCGATGGTCGTGGAACTATCATTCGACAATTCTTCGTAGGATGGAAACTTTATAATTAGATAATTTAGTATGCTATTGTCGTCAGCATATTTAAAATCTGGGTAAGTAATTTTTATGTTCGTTGGTTCTATTTTATCACGAAAGGGGACAGTGCACAAAGTGAGCTTTTGATCAGATGTGCCATCCATAACTTCAATCTTCGTTTCATCGGCTGGGAAGTGGTTACTCAAGAATATAAGGTCAAGAATATTTGAAGTTTCTCCCCGGACACGTGTTGGTTGGTTGACTACTTGGTGAAGATTAAATCGCAGCATTGTGTCGATAACGACATCTGAGCATGCGGAATGAAATTTCATGGATTGCCAGTCGATATCAGGAAGGTTAAAATCACCCAACAAGATGAATCTTGCGCTTTGTATGTTTTGTTCAATGTAGTTGTAGAGCGATTGCATGCTATCTTCGCCAGAAGTAGGACTGCGATGGCAGCAGCCCACAAATGTTGTGTGAAGGCTAAATTTTAGTTTCAAAAAGACAGCTTCTACGCCTTCAACCTCTGGCAGCACAGTGTATTGTATTTCGCATTTTATCATTAACGCTACTCCACCGCCTCGTGTCGGTCTGTCCTTCCGTATTATATTGTAGTTTGGGGGCGTTACTTCACTATCTAAAATGTCATTATTTAACCAGGTTTCGGTTAAAGCAACAAAGTCTGGTTCAAGGTCGAGAAGTAGGCATTCAAGGGATTCTAATTTGTTTAAGACGCTTCGGCAATTCACATTTATAAACCTCAACTGGGGCGGTTTCGAGTGCGAGACGCCGACCCGTCGCTTGGCAGGTTTTTTTTTTCCAGTTGAGGGATTTTTTGCCTCGCCAATCATCACTTTATCGTTTACGGTGTCATCCCATCGATAAAGAATACGGTCTATACTAATTTTGTCGTAGACAAGATGTACCTTTTGCCCGGATTCCTTATTTGGTTTCGCCGAGTCCCACAATTTTTTCCTTATATTACGCACACGCTGGAAAAAGTCTTCACTAATCGATATGTCGGTATCCTTTAGTTTATGACAGTTTTTCAAAATCTTTGTTTTGTCTCGATCATCAAGGAGTTTGAAAATTATTGGTCTAGTTTTGTTCGCGCTTCGTTTACCGAGCCGATGTATCCTTTCGATTGAAACAGGTTAAATTTTCAGAACACCTTTCGCAACTGTATTGTTTATTACTTGCTCTAGTGATTCCTCATCTTCTTTTTCATCCTCAGGGATGCCATACACTATCAAGTTACTTCTTCTTGACCGGTTTTCTAAATCATCCAGCTTTAATTCTAGGCCTGATACTACTTTTTCTAAGGCGGAAACTTTTGTGGTGCAGTCCAATATTGTTTCATCTAAGGCAGCCAGTTTTTCTAATTTGGACTCAATAGCGGTTAGTCATTCTTCTTTAATTTCTTTAATATCACCAGCAATTTGCGTTGGTTGTTGAGAAATTTGTTTTAGGTCGGGCCCGGGGTTTGTCTCGACGTCACCTGCTAGTAATAACAGGTCCCTCAAATAGCAGGACAAGTTACACAAGAGATCACAAAGCAACCTTGGGCACGGCAGCACAATCAAGAAGAGGCAATCAGAACGCATGCATTCGCCGTAGCGTTTTCTCACCTGTACGACATACAAGAAGGGATTAGCGCTCTGCATGCTTCGGGTGCCGCCGTGCCCATTAATCGCCGTCGCTTGGGGGGCCGTATTTATGTCCAGGGTTGTCGTCGTTGAGTGAGGTACCGAGGGGGCGCTGAAGATGGCGTCGGCGCAGTACGTCGCTGAACCCAACGGGTCCAACTTGTAGGGCCGACCATCCAGACCAACCGGCGCGTGTTGCACATGGCGGGCTTTATCACGGCCTAGATTTGCTGTCCACGCTGTCGTCGGTTTGCCCGCTTCTTCATGCCCCGCCGGTATCAGCAGCAGGAAAGTGCCGATCTGTACGACATACAAGAAGGGATTAGCGCTCTGCATGCTTCGGGTGCCGCCGTGCCCATTCCATTATGAAAAGAGATCACAAAGCAACATTTTAGATCTTATACTAACAAACAGCCCCGAAAGCTTAGAATCTATCTCCTACTTACGTGAAATCAGTGATCATAAAGTCATTCATACTACATTAAACTTCATCCCTAAAACACGCCACATTTCCAGCAAAACAATTCATATGTACAACAAAGGTGACTATGAAGCAATCAATAATGAACTGCGAGATTTCCTGCCTGAGTTTGAATCCAGTTTCGATTCCAGATCTCTTAACAGCAACTGGTTAGTCTTTAGGGACAAAATATTCGAGTTAACTAATACATATATCCCAAAGATGAACTTACCTGCTAATCAAAATAAACCATGGTTTTCGAAACTTTTAATAAGGCAGGAAAATAAAAAGAAACGTCTCTTTCGTACTGCGAAACGTAATGGTACTGCGTGCGCATGGGAGAAGTACTATGCTGCAGAAGACGCATATTATGCTGCAATTCGAAGTGCAAAACAGACGTTTTATCGCATTGACTTACCTAAAATTCTAACAAATAACCCTAGAAAGTTCTGAGAAGTTATAAACCCGCAACCGCCGCGTGAAATAACGCTTACTGACCAATATGGTGAGGAAGTTAGCGACGGTGATTGTGCCGAGGTTTTTAACATCGCGTTCTGCTCTGTGTTCACAAAAGAAGCCGATTCGCCACTTCCCTCGCCACCTACTACGACGTTACCAATAATGACTCCAGTGGAATTTTCTGTTGCTGGAATTTCGTCCCTTATCGACAGACTTAAACTTTCATCATCGGCTGGCATTGACAACATTAACTCTAAACTGTTAAAAAACACTAAACAAATTATTGCAGTGTATTTGTCGATGCTGTTTTCATTGTCGCTTAAAACAGGAATGCTGCCAGAAGACTGGAAAGTGGGAAAGGTCATTCCGGTCCACAAATCAGGTAACAAACAGTCACCCCTAAATTACCGCCCCATTTCACTAACCAGCGTCTCATGCAAAATCATGGAACACGTCATATACACTCACATAATAAACTTTCTGGATGCTAACAATTTCTTTCATTCTTCCCAGCATGGATTTCGTAAATCTTTATCTTGTGAAACACAACTAGCTATATTTACTCATGATTTGCACGCTAATCTTGACCGTAACTTCCAGACTGATGCAATCTTTCTAGACTTCGCTTCGTCTCATGCAAAATCATGGAACACGTCATATACACTCACATAATAAACTTTCTGGATGCTAACAATTTCTTTCATTCTTCCCAGCATGGATTTCGTAAATCTTTATCTTGTGAAACACAACTAGCTATATTTACTCATGATTTGCACGCTAATCTTGACCGTAACTTCCAGACTGATGCAATCTTTCTAGACTTCGCTAAAGCTTTCGATAAGGTACCACACAAACGCCTGTTACTAAAACTTGCCCAGTTGAATCTGCACCCCAAAATTCTTGCATGGATTTCAGAATTTCTTGCTAACCGTTCCCAGTTTGTCGATATTAGAAATAAACATTCCAGCTCCCTCTCGGTAACATCGGGAGTCCCCCAAGGTTCCGTCCTCGGACCCCTTCTGTTTCTAATATATATTAACGATTTACCCATGCATGTATCTTCTCATATCCGCATGTTTGCTGACGATTGTGTTCTATACCGCAAAATTACTAACCGCTCTGATCAAACTGCACTTCAAAATGACCTTCATCGTGTACAGCAATGGTGCGACCTGTGGTTGATGGAGCTTAACCCCTTTAAATGCAAACTCGTTTCTTTTCAACGCCAGCATAATCCCTTGCATTTTTCTTACGTAATAGCAAACTCTACTCTTGAACAAATTAAATCCTATAAATACCTAGGCGTCACCTTATCCAGTGATCTTTCATGGCACACGCATATCACGAACGTCATATCATCAGCGAACCGAACTCTGAGTTTTTTGAAGCGTCATTTGCGTCATGCCCCACCTGACATCAAACTTCTCGCCTATAAATCTTTAATCCGAACTAAACTAGAATATGCAGCTCCCATATGGAGCCCGCACCAGGTATACTTGATAAATGAATTAGAGTCTGTGCAAAATCGCGCCACTAGGTTCATACATTCTTCATATTCATATAACATAAGCATATCATCCCTTAAACGTGAAACTGGTCTTTCGAATCTTTCAGTGCGCCGCCGCATTACCAGTCTTTGTTTGCTACACAAGTTCTTTCACAGCCCTCTTAATCAAGCACCCTACATCGTCCCACCGACGCGCATATCTCACCGCACTGCCCACGCGTTTCAAATTGCCCGTCCACATGCTCGCACTACTACTTTTTCTGCCTCTTTTTTCCCCCGTGTAGCAGTGGACTGGAATGGCCTTCCCTGTGACGTTCCAGCCATCACGTGTCCAGCAACATTTAAAGAGAAGGTCACCACGCACATTTCCATTTGAAAACCTGTGTGCATTTACCTGTAACCCACCCCTTATGTAATACCCCCTACATGGGGGTCTTTAAGGTATTAAAGTGATGTGATGTGATGTGATGTGATGTGAAAAGAAAAACAGTTTTTTGGCTAATAATAAATTAGCCTTTCACAATTCCACTCCCGCCGCAAAAAGACACCTGGTAAGTGAAAAAACGTGCAAAAAGGGCATGCTTGTGACGACACCACCTTGAAATCCCGGTACCGAATGCTGCGCCGTCACTTTTTCTTATTTTATTTGCAAAATACTGCTAGCCTAAGAAAGCTGGTATGTAGCAATGAGGATACAAAGATGAAGGAATTTGTACAAACTATGAAAAAAAAAGCGAAAGAGATAATGGCATGCTACACACTAAGCAATTTTCGACAGCAATAATACCATCAATTATATCAATAGTTGTACATAATTATACGGCAGTTATAGTCTCGTAGTTTCTTTCGAGTAATGAGAGCGTGCGATTCGTTTACTTACACGATGAATGAAATTCTCCTTTTCCATTCCTATTTTGCTGTGATAGGTCTTGTAAAGAGGTACATTAGTCTTTTTGTGTGATGCCAGAATTTCAGGGGTTCTAGTTCAGGCCTTTTCACTAGTGTACTTAAGGTGGGTTTACACTAGAGCGACACGACACTGACATGACCCCGACAAAAACACGAGGCAGACGCAAACCATCGGCCGACGAGTCGCCCGCCGACGAAGTCGCCAGACCGCATGGTCACACTAGGCCGCCAACGATGACGCCTCAAAAGACAGCATTTCATCGTAGTGTAACATGATTAGAGACTTCGAAAACCACAGCAAAACGCATCCGCAGACCTGTCGTCGAGGTGTCGTCGAGGTGTCGTCGGGAGATGGGGGGCTGAGCGAAAATTCGCCCCATGTCTTTGCTTCAAACCACCACGGTGCGGGCGATCTTGGGGGAGTTAAAAATACCCTCTCCGAGGCTTCCACGGCTTCTGAATAGGCAGCTTGAGTCTCCAGCGGAACTCTCTTATTCTCTACCCTATTGTGCATCCCCAACCTCGTCCCTCGTTAGCATGGAATATGGCGGGGGCTGTGCCAAGTAGCCGGAGAGGGACAATTTAGAGCAGGGAGCATGGCTGAAAATGAGGTGCAGGTGTGCAAGTTAAGCCGATGTCGCAGCGTGTGCCCCCAATATGACGGCAGAATTGACTAACGAGTACGACAAGATGCAGGGGGGGGGCCCTGCGAGAGACCATCGACACACTGCTTGTGTCTTTGCAGTGTACATAGGCCAACGACATGAGAAAAGAGACTCCTAAAAACAGTCTGCAGACCAAAATCGGTGTCGTGTCTCTCTATTGTAAACGCACCTTTACTGGTGTCTGTCAGCTGTACATATTAAAAACGAAGCGTACCGATTTTTCTTTAACACTTTCTAAGTGGGCAATGCCCTTTTTGTGTTCAGGTTCCGTACTATTGATGCGTATTCGAAGATTGCTCCGATCAATATTTTATAGGCTAATAACTTTATATTTTGAGGAGCTTGGCGCAAAGTCAGTCTCAGGTATTCTAGCTCACTTACAGCTTTTTTCTTTATGTAAGAATCGTGCTCCTTTCACCGAAGATGTGAGTATGACACCTATGGTTTTTTTTTAAAAATTTTACTTCAGACAAAACATGTCTATTTTAGCGATGGCTAATTTGTAGCGGTGAGTGCTTTCTGGCTATCGTCATGAAAACTGTCTTTTTGGGGGTTAATTTTTGTTTCCCAGACTTCACACCATTTATGCACATGCTGAAGAGCTTCATTTAGTTGGGCGTGGTCGTGAAGGTTGTCAGCTCTGTGATCAATTACACAGTCATCTGTCAATAGTTTAAATTTGTAAGGTCTCAAAATCGTATCGCCTCTAGCAGAACACACAGAGACAGTAAACAGGGTCGAATCAAGCCAATACATTTTTGTTCTATTACATTTACTTGAACAATATCTTCAGCCAAAGAATACATCACTAGCAATACGCTTAAGCAACATTATACAATATTTCAACACACTCAATCAAAACAGCAAACACATGACGTCATGAAAGCGGCGTTGCCAACGCTCGACTCACAACGAAGGGCCTACGGGAGACAACACGCGGTGCTGTCCCCATGAACCCTGTCGGAGATCAGCAGACATGCACCGCCTGAAAGACATGAACTGAATGCGCTGCTAGACCAATGCAATTAACGAGGGTCAAGAATGAGGGGGCAACGCAGTCGCAGAGCTACAGCAATGCTCGAAAATCATTTAGCAAGATCATAAACAAGCTTGTCACAAGCCGCGACGAGTTTCAACAGATAAATGCCGAAATCGAGGATGTTATTCCGATTGAGGAACTGGAAAAAAGAGTACAAGTCTGCGGTGCATTATGACGACCAGGCACTTGAGACCCTGACGTGCCTACGGTGCCGTCTTGAAGAGCTCAGCCTCAGCAACGCGCGGCAGACCTCTACTTTGA